TCCAGGTTTACAAAGATGTAAAACAATGGCCTCTCTTCTCACTGTATTTTTATTTTGGAAAAAGAAATGTTATTTTTCATAAAAATCCTGGCATGTAATGGGTTTATTGTTTCATTAACAAATGAATATTTAAACAATTAATTCCATTGTCATTTCAGGAATGTTCTCTAAATGGAATAGTGTAGTAGGCAGCCTTTTAGGATTGGCTTTTTTCACTCAGCATAATTCTCTGGAGATTCATCCAGGTTGTGTGTAGCAATAATCATTCATTCTTTTTTATTGCTGAGTACTATTCTACAGTACAGATGTACCATGATTTGTTTACCCACTCACCCATTGAAGGTCGTCTGGGTTGTTTCTAGTTTGGGGCCATTGCAAATAAAGCTGTAGGTTTATGCGTGACTTTCACTTTGGAATAAATATCCAGGAGTGCAGTAGCTGAATTGTATGGTAGTTGCATGCCAGTTTTTTAAGGAACTGCCAAACTTGTCCAGAGTGGATAAAGGGATCATTAGGTGTAAAAGTTTGACATCCATTGCTTTATACAAAGGTACTATCAAAGCTGATGTGTAACATATACAGTAAGAGAGTTTTCTTGTATTGATATCAAGTAAAAAAATAACTTTAAAATTCTCAGACTTCTGAAGACTAAAGGAAGTTACGTCTCATTCTTTGTTATCATAGAGCAAGGTCCAGTATATCGACTGCTTTGCAGTGCCATAAATTGCAAGATTTTCTCCTATATGTTTATATAGTGATATTATACATTTCAGGACTCTGAAACATTTCAGGCTCAAGTATGAGCCTGAGAACAAAAAAAATTTTTATGTGCCAAGAATGGGGAATACAAAAGATAAAGAAGATGTTATCTTTACCTTCAAAGAGCTGCAATGACAGATAAGCAAGTAGGCAAATGTAGTAATTGCTGAAATGAAGGTATGTGTAAAGAGCAGCAAGAGCATAAGGGAAGGGAGATGTACCCAAGAGTAGGAGGGAGGCTGATGGGTTCTACAGAGCAAGTAGAGTTTGAGTAGGAATTTGCCAGGAGGACACTTGAGAGAGTAGCCTGAGACTCTTGATGTTGATGAGTCAAAGGAACCCTAGGGGTTTCCCATCTAACCATACTTTGGTGGGAATCTTTAGCTCATGGCCTTTTTTCTGAGCTGGATCTCCAGGGTTAGGGACCGTGAGGACACCTTCAATCTGAATTAAAAATAACCTGAAGAGGGGCGCCTGGGTGGCACAGTTGGTTAAGCGACTGACTTGATTTTGGCTCAGGTCATGATCTCACGGTGGTGAGATTGAGCCCCTAGTCGGGCTCCACACTCAGCAGGGAGTCTGTATAAGATTCTCTCTCTCCCTCTCCCCCTGCTCTCTTGTGCACTCTCTCTCTCAAATAAATAAATAAATCTTAAAAAACAAAACAACCCAAGAGAAATGATCTGAATAATATATAGTTTTGGAATTTGCAAACTAACTATGAAAAACCATAGCTCTTCCTGAGAGTCTCTATGATGCACCAGGGTATTCTTATCTCATAAACCAGGAAGAGCAAGCCTGTTACTCATAACTAGAGTTAGGTAGAAAACAGTGTCTTCTTACTCCCTTTCTATTGTACTGGCTATTTTTCAAGATATTATTTAAATATCTTTGCCCCGTGTTGAACGGGGCACCTGGGTGGCTCAGATGGTTAAGCATCTGCCTTCGGCTCAGGTCGTATCTCTGGGTCCTGGGATCCAGCCCTGTGGTGGGCTCCCTGCTTAGCGGGGAGTCTGCTTCTCCCTCTGCCTCTGCCTCTCCCCCAATTGTGCATGCTTGCATGCTTGCTTGCTAGCTTGCTCTCTCTTTCTCTCTCTCTCTCTCAAGTGAATAAATAAAATCTTTAAAAAAATAATAAAATGTGTTGTAATATTCTCAGCCAATTTAATAACTTCCATATTTACTATTAGTGGAATATTATCTAAACAGACAATGTAGTTTGTAAAGATACACATTATACTACATTTTACCTTTATATTATGAAAAATATTTAAGACTTGCTTATTTAACTTGTATTTTAATATTTCAGATTTTGCTCATAGAATATCTGAAATCAAAATTATATATAAACATGGGCATATCCTCCTATAAACATAGGTGTACTTCTGGCCGCCTAAATGTAGTAAGAGTACACAAGTAAATTGTCACCTATGTGGTCATTCAGCATTTACTGAGCTGCTCTTCTGTGAGAGGGTCCAGCTCTTAAGGAGCTCACAGTTTAGTATGAGAAGTAGTATTAGGTGTTGATTTAGACTTGTACACTAAGAAGGAATGAAATCATCTGCCTGGGTTGGGAGTAGAGGGATGGGTTTAGGGGTTAGAAAGACAGGATCAGGCTGCCTTTGGTCCTTACACAATTCATACAACCAAGGCTTTCATGAAATACGTCTCCTCTTTCTTATAATTACTTAATTTACTATTGAGTAATTTTGAAGCAAGAAAGAACTAGATTTCCTTATCTCTTACCAAGTAATTATAAGTTGTTTGGCTTTATACAAATCGTAACATCTGTCTGAACTTTTGTTTCTTTATCTTTAATAATGGTAATAATAGCTAATACTTATATAGCACCTATTATGTGCCAGGCACTATTTTATACACTCATTTTTTATTTTATACGTTCATTTATTCTTTATATCAAACCTTTGAAATAGGCACTATGATTACCCCCATTTTACATATGAGAAGGAAACAGACGTTTAGTAAGGTTACAAAGCTAGTAAGTGACAGAGCGAAGATTTGAACCCTCACAGACTGGCTCCAGAGTATGTGCTCTTAAGTACTTATGCTATACAGCCTTGCAGTTCTTTAATCGTACTTACATGCACATGCTAGTGATCTACACATGAGAATTTGTCCCTTAATGTTTGTTTCATGGTAACAGAGGTATTTCGGGGGTGGAAGATAATGCAGTTAGTTGTTATTTGGTATTTTAAATGGGAACGTGTTATTTTTCCTCATGGAAAGATTTTGTGATAAAATGAAAATAAACTAAAAGTTATTTAGAGATTTAAAAAAGAGCTAAAACATAATAGTCTTAAGAGAAATGCTTTCTTAGTCATTATGTGGGAGGCTAGAATTGCAGTATTTTTTTTTGACGAAAAGAAAAATTAGAATAAACACTATCACAAAGAAAGAAGAGCAAAGGATATGTGAATTTTCTTGCTAATTGGGTGGGGAATAAGAGTCTGAAGGCATTCTGTATTAAAATACCTAGTCTGTCTGTGTGGGATAAATGCTGTTTCTCTTCTTAATCTCACATATCTTGCACTGATGTTTGAAAAGTTACGATGCCCAGAGGGTAAAGAACAAGCCTTGTAAGTTACAAAATACAAGAAGCATTTGCTCTCTTAATGTTGGTACTGATAGGAGTTTAGATCACAGGCTGCTGCTGTTGTTATTTTATTAAGTAGTTTTTAAAAACAGTTTATCGAAGGTCAGCCATCCCATCTGAATCCTGTCCCACCTGCTCGTAATTCATGGCACTTCTTGTTGACTTTGTTAAAATGTTAATATTGTTTTTCTAATAAAAACTCCAAATAAATAAAATAATAAATACGTATGTGTGATGGGAGGAGAATTTTCTCATTGAAACAGATGTTGGGAGCATTGACATGGTATCCTACCCTCTCTGTTCTTGTGGCAGGGAGACCCAGGTTTGATGATATCGGTACCCTGAGTACGTTGTGCCTCGGATATTTTGACCTGCTGCATACTCCCTGAGTGTGCCAGGTGCTCTGAAGCCCCTGAGATTCCTCACAGGGGCCCTTGTCTGCTTCCGTTTGACCGACACACCCTGTCACAACTCAGCAGTGCATGTTTTTCCCCTTTTGAAAGTATTTCCAGCTATAAAGCCAAACTTGAGTTAGATGCCAGTTCTCCTCATCTTTCTCTGTATTCACATAATAGCCTCCTGCACATGGCTTTCTTGGAGTACATTGAATTTTAATGATAGGTTTTCTTAAGTATCCTCTCCCTACCTCTCCTGTCTCCTTGTTCAATGTTTAGCACATACTAGAGACTATAAATATTTACAGAAGAGCAGATATAGACAGCTGCTGCCTCTGGAGTTGATTTTTAACCCCTGGTGCTTCTGGGGGAACTGGAGGGGAGCATTCCTTGCTAGCCTTGCACTAAACTGGAGAGGCTGTTCTGAGAGTCTTATAGTTGGAGAGGAGACAGACATACACGCACACACAAATTGCTGTTTTGAGCAAGCAAGAACAGATCAAAGTGTGGAATAATATGAGGTGGAATTGTTATTTATAACACATCTTACTGATTTAATTGAATTACAGTGGGCTTTTTCCTTTAATGCCTTAAAATAGTATTGCACTTTATGGAGCTTGCACAGATGTTATTTGTATATGCTGTGTAGTTTATCTTTCTATAATCTGTGCTAGATAGAGAATATTTAAATCATACATATTTTGAAATCCATTTTTTCCAAATATAGTACAGGGCGAAGGTCATTTTTTAAATAGACACTGAATTATCCTTGAGACAACATTTCAAAGACACAGGTATAGCAATGTAAATGCATAAAATCAGAAGCAAAGAACCATGACTGGGATGACAGATGCAAATGTATTGCATAATATACCTCAATTTGCATTATTAGCATGCTATGTAGATTAATTGGCTTTAAAAACTACCATTGAGCAGTGAAGTATTGGAGGATTTCAGTCAGTAAAACAGATTGATTCTTTCTTATGTCACACCATATGCAGCATCTTTTGCTTTTAATCACAAGTTCTTTTTTCACCAAGAACTTGGCAATGCAGCCAAGTAGCTTAGCCAGCTAGCAAATTAGTTAGGTTTTTATGACTAATTTATCACCTGGTCTAAATTTTATTTTATCTTTTACCTAAAAAAGAAGTTAACTAGTGATTCTATATTGATAACTTTTAACCCCCCTTGATTGATATTAATTACATTTTTGATTTGTTTTGTTTATCTAGAACAAACCTTGATTTTAGTCAAATACATCAGTGCCCGTTAAAGGAAACCATACCTGAAGTGGAAGTCTAACGTATGAGGATACAGAAACTGCTTTGGTTGACTCAGAATGGGAACCGCAAGTGATGAGATGGTGTCTGTGGAGCAGACCTCCTCCTCCTCCTTCAATCCTCTGTGTTTTGAATGTGGCCAGCAGCACTGGACAAGAGAGAACCACTTATACAATTACCAGAATGAAGTAGATGACGACCTGGTCTGCCATATTTGCCTTCAGCCTCTGTTGCAGCCACTAGACACCCCCTGTGGACATACGTTCTGCTGCAAGTGCCTCAGAAACTTCTTACAGGAGAAGGACTTCTGTCCATTGGACCGGAAAAGACTCCACTTTAAGTTGTGTAAGAAGTCTAGTATTCTAGTTCATAAGCTTCTGGACAAATTATTAGTGTTGTGTCCATTTTCTTCAGTGTGCCAAGATGTCATGCAACGCTGTGATCTGGAAGCACATCTTAAAAACAGGTAAGCAAAAAATATGAAGGAAAGAGAAATGCTAGGTTTTATAAAAAGGTTGGTCAGACAAAAACTTATAGTACCAAGGCATCAGTAAGTAAATGGACAAATCAAATACAAGAGAGACAATAAATAAGTTGTGTGGAACAGTATTTTACATGATAATTTCTCAAAAACGTAGATACAAAAACTTCAGTGAAGAAGTACCTATTAATTTTTGCTGGTATGATATGAAGCTGTTACATTCATATGGGCAGCAGGGTATAGGGATAGACTTTTTTCCAAGGCAGTTTGGCAGTTTGTTTCAAAAATTGTGAATGTGAATATCCTTTTATGTAGCTTATTACCCTAAGGAAATAATCCAAAAGAAGGAAAAATTATGTATAAAGGTGTGTTCACTGCAGCATTGTGCATCGTTCAATAAATCAGAGTCGATCTAATTAACAGTAGGGAAGGGTTAAAACTACCATAGTACATCAACTCCATGGGATATTATGCAAACAGTACAAATGGCAATTTTGTTGCAATATGGAAATGAGGGTACATGATTTTATTTGCTAGGATCTTATAAAGAATATGTGTTCAAGGACTAGACTGACTAAGAACTAGGGGTTAGACACCTTAAAGCATTCAATGGAGACTTTTGTTCTAACAAAGCATTTTAAAAGGTCAAGTAATTTATTGAGCTGATTAGTGAGTTTTATAATTTGACTTTGGTGAAAGACTTGAGTTTTAGAATTATTTATACCCTTAGGAAGGGTTAAAATACATCTCTTACGTTTTATGTATGAAGAATCATATAATATGACAGAAATAAATGTGTTGATTTCTAGATTTCAGAGTTCAGCCACTTGTGCAGTAGAAAGGTGGGATTGCTGTGAAAAAATTCACAGTACAATATATGGGGTATCATAGAATTGCCGGGGATTATCTAATCTTATCCCCTCACTTTACAAATCAGGAAACTGAATCACAAAGATTTAGAGCTAGTTAATGGTATAGTTAGGCCTAAACTTCTAATATTCTTACTTACCATTCTAATATATCGCGCTGACTTGACCACAGGTCAAATCATGTTCCCTACTACTCTGTGGTAGTAAGTTTCCTATAGACATGAGTATATGTGGTCCTTCTGTTCCTAAATATCAGTGTTAGAAAACAAGGATACTCATTAGAAATTGTTAAGATATTTGAGAAAGAACAAGATGTTATTACATCGTCAGAAACAGGAAGATTTATAGAAAAGGTTTAAATCTAAGCTGTGTTGTCTAGTAGGAGGTAAGAAAACGTGTAGGGTAGGTACAGAGACTTGTGAAAGTGCATGTGGCCTTAGGTTTCCGTGTGTCCTCAGTCACCAGCAGGTGTAGGATCTGAGCACGACAGCAGAGACCTGGTGCAAATCGACGCTGGACTTGTGAATGTGGTCTTCTGGGTGGGGCCTACTTACTGAGGTTGAGGAATATCTTAGGCTTGCCTTATTTCTCTCAGTTGGACTATTCTTTTTAGGGGATAGTTTTCTTCTGTGACTCTTATGAACATCAGTTATAGGATGTCAGAAGAACTGAACAAAGTCTCGTTACCAATTATGGTAATGTTCAGTTACCAATTATTTTGAGAGCAGTGAGGTAAATGTTGCACAAATTTTTAGGAACATTCACTTAACTAAAATGCCTACAAGAATTTAATATGTAATTGAAGTATCATTAGTATTTTGGATCAAGCAGTTTATGTTGGTGATGTAAAAACTTGGGGACAGCAAACTTCTTTCATTTGTAGGTTGATAAAGGCTAAGCAGTCATGCCCAGTTGCAAGTTCCATTTTCCAAGTAAGCTTGTTAATATTTGAGCTACTCATTCAATCATTTCCAAAACATCTTAGGCCTGTATAGTGAATGATTGAAAAAGTGAACAATTGAAAAAGGTGGATGATTTGAAAAGGTAAGTGACTTGCTTGATATAAACAGCTAAGAGTGATTATTGACTATGAAAAATAAAAAGGCAAATTATAGAGTATAATTTTTATATCCCATCGGAACAGACATGGGTGGAACAGCCTGACCTTTCTCTAGTTTCTCAGTTAAAAATGTTGATGTTACGTAGTCTCTGCAAGCTGAGAGCAAATTAGAATCTAATGCTGGGTTGTATATTGTCTTTACTAGTCTTTGCATCCCTTTGCCCAAAACTGACACTCAGCTAATGTTTCTTCAATTAAATTGTTAACCTATGTTCTGGTTATCGGTTGCTGAGAAACTAACCATCCCAAATATAGTGACATAAAACAAGCATTTGATTCTGCTCATGGATTCTGTGAGTCAAGAATTCAGGGCACAGCAGGGATGACTTGTCCCTGTTATGTGTTATCTGGGCCACAGCAGGGAAGAACTGAAAGCCAGGGACTACAGCATTTGGAACTGGAGAATCTACTTCTGAGATGGCTTCTTCATTCACATGTCTGGCACCCTGATGGAGATAACCAGAGGCACCGGCTCAGCTAGGAGAGCCTACAGGTGGCCTTTCCAGCATGGCAGCCTCAGGGTATTTAAAGTTTTTACGTGGCATTCAGTGTTCCAGTGAATAAGGCAGAATCTGCATGGCTTTGTATGAACTAGCCTTGAAGTCACATAGCATCCCTTATGTCACTGTGTTTGAAGCAATCCACTCAGATTCAATGGGAGAGGGAACCTGGGCTTCACTTTGTGATGGGAGGGGGTCAAACATTTGCAGCCATGTTTTAAAACCAACACAGGCTACTGAGTGGTACCATGAATCACAGAATATGATTATTCTGACTGTGCCATCTCTGCACACAGTCTCACTCATCTGATAGAAATTGATAAGTTTCATTAAAATTCATAGAATTTCAGGGGCACCTGGGGGGCTCAGTCGGTTAAGCATCTGCCTTTGGCTTGGGTTTGTGTTTGGAACATTCTTACCAGTATACTTTTCTTATGTATAATGTAAAAAGCAGATATATATTTGCAAATCATATACCTGATGAGAGTATTCAGAATATAAAAAGAATTTTTACAACTCTAACAAAAAAGCAAGTAATCCACAATTTTAAATGGGCAAAGAATTTGAATAGATATTTCTCCAAAGAAGATTATTTAAATGGACAATAAGCACGTGAATGAATGCTCAGCATCAGTAGTCCATTTTTTTTTTTTTTTTAAGATTTATTTATTTATTTGACAGAGAGAGACACAGCGAGAGAGGGAACACAAGCAGGGGGAGTGGGAGAGGGAGAAGCAGGCTTCCCGCCAATCAGGGAGCCTTATGCGGGGCTCGATCCCAGGACCCTGAGATCATGACCTGAGCCGAAGGCAGACACTTAATGACTGAGCCACCCAGGCGCCCCTTCAGTAGTCCATTTTTATAATGGGTTGTTTGTTTTTGTAAGTTGTAAGCATCCTGTATATATTTTGGATACTAGAGCTTTATTAAATATATGATTTGCAAATATTTTCTCTTGTTCTGTTGATTGTCCTTTCACTTTCCTATGCCCTTTGAAGGACAGACGGGTTTAATCTTATGAAGTCCAGTTTCTCTGTGTTTTCTTTGTTTGCTTATGCTTTTGGTGTCATGGCCAAGAAATCACTGCCTAATCCAAGGTCACAAAGACTTACACCTGTTTTCTTCTAAGACTTTTATAGTCTTTGATCCATTTTTAATTAATTGTGATTAGAGAACATGCTGTGTGTAATTCAGTCCTTTAAATTTAATTGAGGCTTTTTTTATGACCTAGCACATGGTCTACCCTTAGAAAATGCTCCATGTATACTGAAGAAGAGTGTGTTTTCTGCTATTGATGGGTGGACTATTCTACAGATGTCCATTGGGTCTGGTTGATTTGTAGTGTTATTAAAGTCTCTCTTTTCCTGTTCTTGTCGGTTTGTTCAGTTCATTATTGTAAGTGTGGTATTGAAGTCCTAAACTATTGTTGAATTGTCTATTTCTCCTTTAATTCTGTCATTTTTTCCTTCATGGACTTTGAGGGTCTGTTGTTAGTTATGTTTATAATTGTTAACAGCTTCTTGATAGATCGAACCTTTCATCACTGTAAAATTGGAGTATTTATTTGTATTTGGTGTAATTACTGATCAGGCAGGATTTATGTCTGCCATTTTGCTATTCTGTCATTTTTTTTGTTTCTCTGTTTTTCTGTTACTTCTTTTGTGTTAATGTGTATTTTCTAGTATTCCCTTTTAATTCCTTTGTCATTTCTGTTCATATATATATATTTTTTAATTGTTTTCTTAGTGGTTGCCCCGGGGATTATAATTAACATCTTAATTTATAACAGTCTAGTTCAGATTAATACAAACTTAATTTCACTAGAGTATAAAAACTCAGCTCATAGATAGCTCTGTTCCTTCCCCATTTTTTGTGCTGTTATTGTTGTACAAATTACATCTTTATGCATCATTTGCCCATCAAAACAATTATAATTATTTCTTTGTGCAGTTGTCTTTTAAATCAGATAGGACAAAAAAGTAGTTATGAACCAAAAACTACTTTTATGCTTTTATGTTTATATAGTTACCCTTATCAGTGCTCTTCAGTTCTTCGTGTGGGTATGAGGTACTAAGTTCCTTCCATAGCAGCCTGGAAGACTTCCTTTCGTGTTTTTTTGTAGGGCAGGTCTGATAGCAACAAAGTCTTCATCTGGGACTGTCTTCATTTCTCCTGTTTTTGAAGGATGGTTTTTCTAGACATAGGCTTCTTGGTGGACAGTGTTTGTTTTAGCACTTTGTGTTATCTATAGCCTCCTAGCATCCATGGTTTCTGAAGAGAAATCAGTTGTCAGTCTTTTTGAGGATGAGATGTATGTGATATGAGGTACTTTTCTCTTGCTGCTTTCAAGATTCATCAACTTCAGCAAGATTTTGGTCATTATGTCTTCAAATATTGTTTCTGCCCTCTTCTCTCTGACTTTTTGTGGGACTCCAATTCTGCATACTACTAGTAATACTCTTGATAGTATCTCAGAGGTCCTTGAGATTCTGTCCT